GGAGATTTTGGTTTGAATTTCACGCAAAGCTACACAAGAGCTATCTGCGCTAGCCGTCCCTAATTTAGCAGTAAAAGACTAGATGGAAGGCAGCTAGTCATCACCACCCACTGCCAACACTTAGGCTACTCTTTTATCAACGAATAGTGGGATTGATCATCATATAATAACGCTTCTACGGCTGAAAGGGTGAGCATGTTTGGTGGGACGAGGATTCAAACCCGCGACCTGCAGATCACGAGTCGAGCATCCTAATCACCTGGCCATTCTAGGCCTCGAGCGAAGTTTTAACCGTTTTGTTATGCGTTAAAATATTCGCTGTTTCGCCAGCTCGGGCATTTTACATCATTACATTAATTCTCCTGTACTTTATACTGGCAATGTTACACTTGAACTTTTGGTATTAGTAGATCGAACTCGGATGATGAGCTCTGATATAGAGCGGGAGGCCTCTCAGGCAGTGATTTGTAGCGGGTATAACTGCAATACAACAATATTTCTACACACCCCTTGTAAAACTGTCATAAACAATATTTTTACATTCTTCTAGTAAAACTGTCATAAACAATATTTTTACATTCTTCTAGTAAAACTGTCATAACAATATTTTTACATTCTTCTAGTAAAACTGTCATAAACAATATTTTTACATTCTTCTAGTAAAACTGTCATAAACAATATTTTTACATTCTTCTAGTAAAACTGCCCTAAAACAATATTTTTACACACCTCTGACTGAAATTCGTAACAGAATAATTAAGTAGAATGTAAAAAAAACTTATTTTTAGTCAACAATAATTTTAATCGCTCTCATTCGGTCTTAAAACATTAATTGCTTCGTCGGCATAAGCGTTTTACTTCAGCAAAATAAGAATTACTTCGTTTTTTAATTAACGTAATTTTTGCATTAAAGTAAGTAAGTTTTTCGAGTTTTTTGGCATGGACACCAGCATATCAAGATGTACAAACTAATATCGAGCAGAATATGATTCTATGATTCAGTTAGTGGGAAAACTTTGAACTTTGTTCTCGGTAGGGTATAGTGTTCTATAGAGTTACTTCAAACTCTACGTTAGTGCAGTAAAAACAAAAGTCTAGAAAGATAAGAGAAAGTTCGGTGAGGTATGATGTTCTATAGAATTACTTTAGATTATTTTGGTAAAAACCAAAGTCTACAAAAAAAGAGAGAACATTCTTTCTCAGTGAGGTATGATGTTCTGTAGAGTCATTTCAAATCTTTAGGTTAGGGTGGTAAAAACCCAAGTCGATAAAAATAGGAGAAAGTTTGGCCTCATTTATTCGCTCTATTATTTTCTTGTAATTTATGAAAATAGTTGAAATTGCTGCAAATTCAAAGGTCATAAAATTGCACGCTAAGTTAAGAGGTGAATTGAATTCTTCAAAACCTGATGTGTTGTTACAGGTATACAGTGAACAGAATTCTTCAAAATCTGGTGGTTGTTACAGGTATAAAGTAAATAGAATTCTTCAAAATCTGGTGGTTGTTACAGGTATAAAGTAAATAGAATTCTTCAAGATCTGGTGGGTTTTACAGGTATAAAGTAAATAGAATTCTTCAAGATCTGGTGGGTTTTTACATGTGTACAGTGAACAGAATCCTTCAATATCTGGTGGGTTGTTACAGACATAAAGTGAACAGAATTCTTTAATATCTGGTGGGTTGATACAGATATACAGTGAACAGAATCCTTCAAGATCTGGTGGGTTTTTCAGGTATATGGTGGATAGAATTCCTCAAGATCTGGTGGGTTGTTACAGACATAAAGTGAACAGAATTATTCAATATCTGGTGGGTTGATACAGGTATACAGTGAACAGAATCCTTTAAGACCTGGTATTCACCATAAACCTGTAAAAACCCAGAATTCTTCAAGATCTTGTTCGTTTTTACAGCTACTGTACACACTCTTCATCATCACGGAGCGGCCGAAAGTTTACAATTGAAAACAGTCTTAGTATTTCAATTAAATAAACAAACCACTACTTTGCTATATATTATTTGACGTTGGTTATCAATAATAACTCTGTATAAATGAAGGATTAAATTTTTCGTTTACACAAACATTTATGATAAAAAAAACAATTGTTTATTTCGGATCGAATTTTAGGTTTATTGAAATAAAACCGAAGGAATAAAAAATGTGAATCCAAGTGTTAACTTTAAACTTTTACTGTATATTTGTTTAGAAGATAGTTATATATTCTTCTTCGTACATACTCGTTACTCTGAAGTGTGTATAAATATTTGTTATTCTAATACTATAAAAAGTTTAAATTAATTTTAAACTTCTAATTTTTTTTATAACGGCGTATCTAAGTAGATTCACTGATTCAGGCATAATTTATTACTGTTATACAAAATCACCATAAGCAACATATCATGCATTTGTTATTCAACTGTACAACAGAATGTAAACTTTGTGCAGATTCTTGTTAAAATAAAAATGAAAGCTTGTGAGGTTTCCTAAAATACTTCTTCTGGTTGTCTTCAAACCTAAAACAAAAAAAGAAAAGAGTTTTCAGATACAATATATACCTAACTTCTTATTTTAGAAATTAGATACTACTTATGTAACTATGATAAACGAGAGTATAAATAAATATCTTTTGTAAACAAGACAGTTAATGAGACAATGATACGTTCTAGAGAAACTGTCAGTAGTATGATACTAAGAACTGATCACATTTTAGCTAGTGTATTTTCTATAAGGTAAACCATGATATGTTCTAGAGAAACTGTCAGTAGTATGATACTAGGAATCGATCATATTTTAATTAGTGTATTTTCTATATGTTTCTTTGTTAAAGCACAAAGCTACGTAACAGGCTGTATGCGCTCCATGGGGAATCAAATTCTAGATCCTATCGTTGTAAGTCCGTAACCCTTTAGCGGGCACTGGATAATGGATCAGTGATGTACATCTGCTTGTTTGTTGTTCATGAGGTAATTAATAGCCTTAGAATTAGTGATTTAATCCTTAGTACAGAACCAGATTACGTAGAACTTTTATTTTGATTCTTAATCCAGAACCAAGCCATGTATAACTTTGTATTTTGATCCTTATTCCAGAACCAAATCATATACAGTTTTGTGTTTTGATCCTTAGTATATAACAAAATTATATAGAAATTGATATTTGATCTTTAATCCAGAACCAAGCCGCGTAGAACTTATGGTTTTGATCCTTATTATAAAACTAAGCCACGAGGGTGATACAAGTACACGTTCTTTTGTCTGCCTCTGTGATTTTATAAGAGTGTGCCATTATTTCATATCAAATGTCTTTCACGTCTACGTTTAGTAGTTTCTATAGAGAGATGGAGTGCGCATGTCATGAAATGCATCTTAACACGTTTTTCAATGACGTAGCAAATTTGGCTTACTGAAACACTTGTCTCAAATATGTGTGTTTATAGAATCGAAACCGGTGAAGTATTTTAATTGTGACGTTTTGCTAACTTGGTTTATAAATATAATTTTTCTCAAACCTGTTCTGTTAACGTGTTTAAACTCAGATTATTCAGTCGACGAGCTCTGATAATTATGGAAAATGTCTTTCAAAACTATGATTGTTTGTTTTTGAAATTCGCGCAAAGCTACTCAAGGTCAACTATTGGGCTACTCATTTACCAACGAATAGTGGGATTGACTGTTACTTTATAACGCCTCAACGGCTGAAAAGCGAGTATATTTGGTGACGGGGATTTCAACCCACAAATTGCGAGTCGAATGCCCTAACCATCAGGCCAAGCTAAGTCAAATATAGTTGAGATGACATTACAATCCAGCGGTTCTCAATCTTTGATTCGAAGACCACTGGTGGTCCGTTGAAGGGTTGCATAATTACGGAAAGAAAGCGATCAAAAAGTTTGAGAATCACTGTTATATATTCTAACTTTTGCTAGAATAACATGTAGCAGAGAATGATAAAGAGTTTATTATTATTAACAATTATGTAGTAAAGTCTCAGAGTTTAATATAATAAAGTAGAGCAAAATGAAATTTGTATTTACGTTGTAAAATGTTGACTGTCGACGAAAGAGACATTGATGCCCACGTTGAACTCTTCTCTGCTGTCCCCATGGATTTTAAGGGCACGTGAAAATCCCGATGCTGGATATATGACGTCATTCACTCGTAAACCAATAAGATTACTGTGTATACTTCCAGAGGGCGAGGTTAAAAGATTAGCACAGACGAGTGCAACAGTTGTAAGAAAGATTAGTAAAAACATCTGAAAATGTAAGACGTAACCAAAATACGGAATGTATCAGTTTTGCGAACTCCAATTCTGAAAATGTCATTCTTTTGAATTACACTGGTACAAAAACAATACTTTAACGGTTTCCTTAACTCAAGGTAGGAGTGAGTCCAGATTAATGATGGAGTACAAGTAGTTAATACAAACACACTATGATGGAGTATAAGTAATTACTACAAACACACTGTGGCGGAGTATAAGTAATTACTACAAACACACTGTGGCGGAGTATAAGTAATTACTACAAACATACTGTGGATACTCCGAAGTAATTACTACAAACACACTGTGGCGGAGTATAAGTAGTTACTACAAACACACTATGATGGAGTATAAGTAATTACTACAAACACACTGTGGTGGAGTATGAGTAGTTACTATAAATACACTGTGATGTAATATAAGTAGTTAGTACAAACACACTGTGGCGGAGTATAAGTAGTTACTACAAACACACTTAGGTGGAGTATAAGTAATTACTACAAACACACTGTGGCGGAGTATGAGTAGTTACTATAAATACACCGTGATGTAATATAAGTAGTTACTACAAACACACTGCGGCGGAGTATAAGTAGTTACTACAAACACACTATGATGGAGTATAAGTAATTACTACAAACACACTGTAGCGGAGTATAAGTAGTTACTACAAACACACTGTGGCGGAGTATAAGTAATTACTACAAACACACTGTGGCGGAGTATAAGTAGTTACTATAAATACACTGTGATGTAATATAAGTAGTTAATACAAACACACTATGATGGAGTATAAGTAATTACTACAAACACACTGTGGCGGAGTATAAGTAATTACTACAAACACACTGTGGCGGAGTATAAGTAGTTACTACAAACACACTGTGATGTAATATAAGTAGTTACTACAAACACACTGTGGCGGAGTATAAGTAGTTACTACAAACACACTATGATGGAGTATAAGTAATTACTACAAACACACTGTGGCGGAGTATGAGTAGTTACTATAAATACACTGTGATGTAATATAAGTA